AAAAATTAGCCGGGTGTGGTGGTGGGTGCCTGTAATCCCAGCAACTTGGGAAGCTGAGGCAGGAGAATTGCTTGAACTCACGAGGTGGAGGTTGCAGTTAGCTGAGATCACGCCATTGCACTCCAGTCTGGGCAAGAGAGCGAGACTCTGTCTCCAAAAAAAAAATACAACCTTTAAGGCCCTATTTCCAAATAAAGTCACATTGGGGGTTAGGACTTCAACATATTAATTTGGGGGAATATGTTATATGGAATTAATTATATGGAATATAATTTAGTCCATAACAGTTACAATATCAAAATGAGTTGAAAATTCTAATCTTCTGTAAGATTAAAACTGCCTCAAATCATTATTACAAGAAACAAAAGTATCCCTTAAGGGAATTCTGTATAAAGATCTAAGAAGAATTGTCCTGGTATCACAGATACACAGGAGAATCAAATATTAAGGAGAGGCTGGATGTGGTGGCTTATGCCTGTAACCCCAGCTACTTGGGAGGCTGAGGCAGGAGAATCGCTTGAACCTGGGAGGTGGAGGTTGCAGTGAGCAGAGATCGCGCCATTGCACTCCAGCCTGGGCAGCAAGAGCGATACTCTGTCTCAAAAACAAAACAAAACAAAAAGAGGTGTTGAAGGGCCCTCACATTTTACTCCATATATTCCCAAATTTTTTCCCTTGTGAGTTTATATAAAAAATGTGTGGAACTTGAGTTTAAAAAATAATGTGTTTAACTTATATAAGGAATAAAAGAAGAAAACCCTCACGCACACTTAGAACCTCTACAGAGAGGAAAAACAAATTTTACAATGCAGACCTTTTACAAATTAACTCCTTTTAGAAAGCAGCAAAAATAAAAGACAAATGGTGGAATGGAGACTATATGTGTATGTGTGTTTGACAAGGGAATCATTGGTTAGTGTCTGTGTTCTTGGGTCCCCAGTACCACCCTCTGGTTCAGTGATTTGCTAGAACTCCTAGAATTCAGCAAATACTGTGTTGCATTTATGGTAGAGTGTTAGAGTGAAAGGATGCAGATTAAAAGTCAGCAACATGCTGAGCATGGTGGCTTATGCCTATAATCCCAGCACTTTGGGAGGCCGAAGTGGGTGGATCAGCTGAGGTCAGGAGATCAAGACTAGCGTGGTCAACATTGTGAAACCCCATCTCTACTAAAAATACAAAAATTAGCTGGCCGTGGTGGCAGGTGCCTATAATCCCAGCTACTTGGGAGGCAGAGGCACAAGAATCGCTTGAACCTGGGAAGTGGAGCTTGCAGTGAGCTGAGATTCTGCTACTGCACTCCAGCCTGGGCAACAGAGTGAGACTCCATCTCAAAAAAGAAAACAGCAACAGAAAAAAGCACATAGAGCAAGCTCCAAGGTCCAGGAGAGACCAAGTGCAGGCTTTCCATTGTCCTCTCTCTCTCTGGAATTTAACTGATAACCTTTAAATCTCCCAGGAACAGGCCGGGCGCAGTGACTCATGCCTGTAATCCTGGCACTTTGGGAAGCCGAGGCAGGTGGATCGCCTGAGGTCGGGAGTTCGAGACCAGCCTGACCAACATGGAGAAACCCTTTTCTCTACTGAAAATGCAAAATTAGCCGAGCGTGGTGGTGCATGCCTGTAATCCCAGCTACTCGGGAGGCCGAGGCAGGAGAATCGCTTGAACCCAGGAGGCATGGGTTGCGGTGAGCTGAGTTCACACCATTGCACTCCAGCCTGGGCAACGAGAGCAAAACTGTCTCTCAAAAAATAAAAAGGAAAAAAAAGAAAAAATCTCCCAGGAACGATGTGTGAGAGATTTGTGTTCATGCCATACAGAACCAGGGAAGCTCACTCTAGCTTGGTGTTCAGGGTTTTAATTGGGGGCTGGTGTAGGGGTGATCCCTTTTCTCCCTATCATAAGGGTCATGACAGAAAACCCTATAACAAAACACAGGTTAACAAGAGAAAAGCATAACAAGTTTATTTGATAATAGTTTTATAACTTCCCCTTTGCCCTCCGAAGGTTTGCTGAAAAGCACTGACATATACATACACACACACACACACAAAAGCAGAATAGGCTGGGCGCGGTGGCTCACGCCTGTAATCCCAGCACTTTGGGAGGCTGAGGTGAGCGGATCACCTGAGGTCGGGAGTTTGAGACCAGCCTGATCAACATAGAGAAACCCCATCTCTCCTGAAAATACAAAATTATCCGGGTGTGGTGGCGGGAGCCTATAATCCCAGCTACTCAGAGG